TCTCCTCAAGTGGGTTCAGGGACGCCGGAGGACACAGGAAGCTCCCCGAGAAGCTGGGGTTAATCAGTCCAGGCTCCTGGGGTGCTAGAGAGGTACATAAGAGGCTCCTCCTCCTCTCTCTGCCTGCAGCTCCTGCTGCTTTCTGTGATTCCCTCTCACCTTTCTCCTGCCTGCCTCTTATGTCTCTTGTGCCCTCCTTCCTCCAGCCCAGCACTCCCCCCTCTCTGGGCATCTCGAGCAGAGAGAATCCGCAGCAGACACAATTTTCTACACTCTGGGTCCTAGTGGCGCCCCCCACAGTCTGGCGCCTCAGTTCGCCTCATGGTAAGGCCAGCCCTGTCCCCAAAACCACTGGGCCACATACCTGAGAAGCTCCATTTGACGGTGAACCCGAAGGTTGGCTGCTCCAGGTTGTCGACATGCTGGGATCCGTTCAGGGGCGACACGAGGATCGGCTTTTCTGTGTCTGACACCGCTGTGCAGTACAACCCAGAGAACTGCCCGGCCCCGTTCACGGCAGAGATGGTCATGTTAGAGCCCAGGTCGTTCTGCCAGTCTCCAGTCAGGATGCACTGAAAGAGGGGGGTGCAGTCGGCGGGAGGGGGATGGTGGAGTCAGGAGGGTCAGACCCCAGCTGAGGCTGTGACCCCAAGAGCCCTAAACGCAGGACACAGACCCCACAAAGCAGAGGACGACCAGTGACCAAGGGGGTCTGTGCTCTGACTCCTGGCCATTGAGGGGAACCCCCTGCCCAATAAAAATAAAACCCCCGCCCCCCCCCCCCCCCCGGGCGCCCCCCCCCCCCCCCCCCCCTCCCCGCGGGGGGCCCGGACGGTCCCCCCCCCCCATCCCACCCCCCCAACCCCCAACCCCCCCCGCCTCCCCCCCCGTCCCCGCGCCACCCGGGTCAACGGCCCCCAACAACAACCCCTGGGTATTACCTTCTCTGACACCCCTTTCACAGCGTCAAAAGCGAATTGAACTCGGAACTTTCCCCCCCCGACACATCCCATCCCCCCTTAATCCCTTCAAACTATAGATAAAGGTCATTTCCTTCCCTTCCCACACATTCAGATCTTTCTTCGACTTTCCCACCCTCAGAGTACACATCACACCCTTCCTTTGCTCACCCTGATAGACAGTTCTCCCCCTTTCCAACAACACAAGAACACAAAATACAACATTGGTTAAATTAATTTTAAATCTAAATTTAAAAATATTTTTTAGCATTATTTTTCTGAATAATCATTTCATTGTTTTTTATCTCTGGGAGGGGGTAGGGTTGAGGTTTGTGTTTGATTTTTCTGATTAATTGAAAAGGTGACCCTCTGGATGAGGATCATGGGGGTGTTATTTTATATTTATGGGGGGGCCAAATATTAGTGGGGGTGTATCTGTGTGGTCTGTGGTTGGGTGATTTATGTGTAAGGCAGGGTTTAAAGATTGGGGGGGATATTGTGTGTGTTTTTTGTTTTTTTATCTGATGGTTGTCTGGTCGGGGAAGGGTTGGGTTTGTCATTGTATTTGGTATTGTTGTTGTACTGTGTTGGTGCTTTAATTTCTTTTGAAGGGTTATTTCTTGGATTTAAATTGTTGGCTTGTGTTCCAGTTAGAGTATGGTTTGAGGTGATTGCCCTGTTGTAGGGATGTTGAAATTTTTCTTACTCAGGGTACCCTAATTTTAATTTATGTAATTGTTTTCAGTCACTTAGACGGGGGAAAATTTGGGGGTGTTTTATGCAGAGGCTGGGTTTTGTGATGTTGAGAATCCACCTTCTGGTTGTCGATTATTTCTGTAGGGTGGGGTTGGGGAGGTCCAACGAAGTAATAAAAAAAGGTTTTTAGGAATTTGAAGTTTAGGTGAGGGGTAGTGGGTATTTTGGGGGAATAAATAATATTTCTGGGTGCTTTACAGGGTGTTTTGTTTATTTCTTGAGGGGGAGGGGATGTGAAAGGTGTTTTTTTATTGTTGTTTTTATATGAAGTGCTCCCAACCACAGCACCTGGCCTCCCTCTGCCGCTGGGCGGGGGCTCTGCCTTCTCTCTCCGAACCCGGGGGTACGGAGGAGGCGTCCCCCTTCCTCTCTCCACCCCACCGTCCCCTCCCCACACACAACGAGGGGAGCGTCTCTGAGGCAGGGGAGACAGCAGCCGTCCGTCCCCCGGAGCCGCAGGGCCCCGAGGGGCCCGAGAGAGGTGGCAGGTTCCCTGCCACTGGCGCGTCTCCCGGTCCCCCGGAGCAGGTCTGCCCTGGGACTGCTGGGCACGAGGACGGGACGGGTGCAGCGCAACGTCGTCCGGGACGTGCTGTCTCCGGCCCCGCCCGGGGGTGCTCTGGGTGCCGCCTGGCCTCTCCTACGCCCACGGCACGGGGAGGGATCCGCAGCCGAGCTGCCCCTGCCAAGGCTGCTCAGAAAGCCCAGTCCCCAGAGTGACTCTGGCCTGGGACGTTTCGGACCCGAGAAGGCGAATGCCCAGGCAAAGCAGCAGTGAAATCCGCCCGGTTCCAGCCCCCAGCGGCTCAGGGAGACAGGGACCCGCGAGCTGGGGGCTGAGACCCGGGTGCTCTCGAAGGACAAAAGGGGTTTCCGATTTGAGGGAGCCGCTCAGTCGTGTTTGATCTCTGCTGACGGGGTAACGCGGGGCTCTGAGAAGCTGAGCCTGCGGCTTCCAGCCCGTTGCACTGAGCGTCCTGCTTGGCGGCTCCGGCAGGGAGCGGCTCCAGGCCCCCCGCGGGTTGCTCGAGCTTGGTGAGCTGGAGCCTGGGGCCCTGGCGGGGCTCCCTGGCTTGGCACCGTCACCACCTCAGGGCGTTTCTTGTCCGGTCCCCGAGAAGTCTCCTCACCGGGACACAACCTGCCTGGCTGAGTGGGGCGTGCGGCGCTCAGCCCGCAGGTCGCTGTGCCCGACGGGGCTGCGTTGCCTCCAGAGCGGGATCCCGGCGTGGGGAAAGGCCCCCCGCCTGCCCTCACCTCCACGGGTCATTGCAGCGCCTGACCCATCGCCCATCGCTCCCCTCCGGCTCTCACTGCTCCCTGCCCCGGCCGGAGACCCCCAGAGCCAGCGCCCGGCCCCCTCGGCCCTCGCCCTGCCCCGGCCGGAGACCCCCAGAGCCAGCGCCCGGCCCCCTCGGGCCCTCGCCCCGCCACGCCCCAGAGCCAGCGCCCGGCCCCCTCGGGCCCTCGCCCTGACACGCCCCAGAGCCAGTGCCCGGCCCCCTCGGCCCCTCGCCCTGCCCCGGCCGGAGACCCCCAGAGCCAGCGCCCGGCCCCCTCGGCCCCTCGCCCTGCCCCGGCCGGAGACACCCCAGAGCCAGCGCCCGGCCCCCTCGGCCCCTCACCCTGCCCTGGCCGGAGACACCCCAGAGCCAGCACCCGGCCCCCTCGGCCCCTCACCCTGACACGCCCCAGAGCCAGCGCCCGGCCCCCTCGGGCCCTCGCCCTGCCCCGGCTGGAGACACCCCAGAGCCAGTGCCCAGCCCCCTCGGCCCCTCGCCCTGTGTAGTACCTTTCTCTCTGAAGAGGCACCAACGGTCACCAGAAACAGGGCAAGGACCAGAGAGAAACCCGTTTTCCCCATTGTTACTGCGAGTGGAGGCTGCCCACAGGTGCCAGAGGAATCTCCTTCCAGGGACTCGTGTCTGGGACTCCCACTCAGGCCCCTATTTATAACCCTAGACACAGGCGGGGCTGGGATGGGTGCTGGTTATTTACTGATTAGCAGTTCCAAGAAATAGAGATTTTTGCTTAAATTTAATTTCTGAGGAAAAGAAAGAGAAAGTGAAAAGGGCCGTGTGACCCAAGCAGTGTTGTGCAACTTCCGACCGAACCCGAGGCCAGGACTGTGGCTCTCTGGAAACCCCTGATGCCCAGAGCATCGGTTGAGTCCGTGTGAAGCGATGGAGCCAGGCCCAGGCCTGGCTGAGAGCACTTTGGTGCAGAGGCTCATCAGGTTCGCTCCTCGCTGGGCCCTGAGGCCCAGGAACGGTGGAGTCCAAAGGTTCTGCGGCTGTTGCAATGAGACAATTGACCGGCGAAGGCGGCAGTAACGGCCCCCCTGGGGGACCCAAGAGCTGCTGGTTCCTCCCCACGGGGTGGCTCTGCACGGCTCCGGAGAATATGTACGAACAGCAGCGCAGGGAAATGGGCCCCCATTTCCGGGTGGTTTCTGTGAACACACAGCACCTTGCAACGGCAAAGGCTGCCAGCGACACGACGCTAAAGGGCCAGCAAACGTGACTCATGGATGAGGAATCAGGACGGCAACTAGTCACCCTCAGGAACGGGGCGAGTGAGGAGAGAGCACGTGGGCAGCCGCAACAGCAGGACGAGAGGGCAAGAGCAGGACAGAGCAGTGCCAAGCGCTGTGGGGACAGAGCTGGGGCCGGGCTGAGGGGCAGAAATGCCGACAGGGGAGGGGTCAGCTGGAGAAGCACAGGAGGCCGTGGCCTGCAGGGGGAAGGAGGGGACCCAGGGGGGTGGGCAGGCACAGGAGGGATCCGCAGGACGGGGAGGGATGGGGAACCAACCCAAAACCAAAACCAGCTCTGACGAGATGCTGGGTCCCTTTAAATGGGAGCATTTAATCCAGTTTCTGTCACTGATTTTCTTTAACTCAGATAGAATAATAGAATCATAGAAGTTTAGGGTTGGAAGAGACCTCAGGACATCATCTAGTCCAACCCCCTGCTCAAAGCAGGACCAATCCCCAATTAAATCATCCCAGCCGGGGGGGGGGGGGGGGGGGGGGGGGGGGGGGGGGGGGGGGGGGGGGGGGGGGGGGGGGGGGGGGGGGGGGGGGGGGGGGGGGGGGGGGGGGGGGGGGGGGGGGGGGGGGGGGGGGGGGGGGGGGGGGGGGGGGGGGGGGGGGGGGGGGGGGGGGGGGGGGGGGGGGGGGGGGGGGGGGGGGGGGGGGGGGGGGGGGGGGGGGGGGGGGGGGGGGGGGGGGGGGGGGGGGGGGGGGGGGGGGGGGGGGGGGGGGGGGGGGGGGGGGGGAAGTATTTGTCAAGCCGGGCCTTAAAAACCTCTAAGGAAGGAGATTGCACCACCTCCCTAGGTAACCCATTCCAGTACTTCACCACCCTCCTAGTGAAAAAGTTTTTCCTAATATCCAACCTAAACCTCCCCCCTGCAACTTGAGACCATTACTCCTTGTTCTGTCATCTGCCACCACTGAGAACAGCCGCGCTCCAACCTCTTTGGAACCCCCTGTGACGAAGTGGGACTGTTCTTAATGGTTCCTCTGAATAGTGTGGGGGTGCCTCAGTTTCCCCTAGGCAGTTCTTAAGTGTCTGGGTGGTGGGGTAAGGGTGTATGATCAATGCAGAGCCCTAGAGGGCAGGTGTGTGCAGTGGTCTGGACACAGAGAATGGCCGACACCCTGTTTCCTGGCAACTGATGGCCTGGGCCCCTCCCGCCTGCAAGGTGAGAGCTAAAGGGGTTAGAGAACAAAGGAATCCCGTGACCTCCTGGCCCGGGAAAGGGACAAAGCCCAGAGGAGGAGGGGCTGGAGGGAGTTTCAGTTGGGGGCTGGCTGGGACATGGAGTGAAGGGCAGATGTGGTTGTCTGGCTCACTGCCCCCCAAAATGGACCCAGCTGAGGGGTCCTGTTCTCTGCACCTACAAGCTCTGTGTTAGACCATTTTCCTGTCGTCTAATAAACCTCTGTTTTACTGGCTGGCTGAGAGTCCCGTCTGAGAAAAGGGGAAAGCGGCTTTGAGACCTTTGCCCATCATAGAGGAGCCTTTCCAGAAGGTGGCCATGGACATCGTGGGGCCTCTCAGCAAGACGACCCGGTCGGGGAAGAAATACATTCTGGTGGTGGTAGATTTCGCCACCCGCTACCCCGAGGCAGTGCCCTTAGCTTCCATTGAAGCAGACACCGTGGCCGATGCGCTCCTGACCATTTTCAGCCGAGTGGGGTTCCCCAAGGAAGTCTTGACAGACCAAGGCTCTAACTTCATGTCGGCCCCGCTCCGGTGCTTGTGGGAGAAATGTGGGGTCCGGCACGACTGGGCCTCAGCTTATCACCCCCAGTCCAATGGGCTGGTGGAGAGGTTTAACGGGACGCTAAAGATGATGCTGAAAACCTTTATGAACCAGCACCCGCAGGATTGGGACAAGTACTTACCTCACCTGCTGTTCGCGTACAGGGAGGTGCCCCAGGAGTCTACCGGATTTTCGCCTTTCGAACTGTTGTATGGAAGGAGGGTGAGGGGCCCCCTGGACCTGATGAATCATAGAATCATAGAATCATAGAATATCAGGGTTGGAAGAATCATAGAATCATAGAATCATAGAATATCAGGGTTGGAAGAGAGACGAGTGGGAGGGGAAGGCCACTCCCGATGGAGAGTCAGTGGTGGAGTATGTCCTGATTTTCCGAGAGAGACTGGCTGAACTCATGGGCCTGGCCAGGGAGAATCTGGCCAGAGCCCAGAGGAAGCAGAAGGTCTGGTATGACCACACGGCGCGGGCCTGGGCCTACGCCACCGGGGATCAGGTGATGGTTCTCATCCCTGTGAGAAAGAACAAACTACAGGCCGCCTGGGAGGGCCCTTTCAAGGTCGTCAAGCAGCTCAATGAGGTAAACTATGTGGTGGAGCTGTCGAACCGAGCGCACCACCGCCGGGTGTACCATGTGAATATGATGAAGCCATATTATGCCAGGGGGAATGTGGTGTTGGCCGTGTGTGGACATTGGGAGGAGCAGGGAGACTCTTTAGTAGATCTATTCCCTGGGACCAGAGCTGGTTGGGGGGGGGGGGGGGGGGGGGGGGGGGGGGGGGGGGGGGGGGGGGGGGGGGGGGGGGGGGGGGGGGGGGGGGGGGGGGGGGGGGGGGGGGGGGGGGGCGGGGGGGGGGGGGGGGGGGGCTTCCCTGGCCCCGTCGGGGGGGGGGGGGGGGGGGGGGGGGGGGGGGGGGGGGGGGCGGGGGGGGGGGGGGGGGGGGGGGGGGGGGGGGGGGGGGGGGGGGGGCGGGGGGGGGGGGGGGGGGTCCGAACAATTTCTTTTAAAGAGTGAACAGCCCGGGGAGTGGGGGGTGGGGGTCTCAGAGCAGAGCAGGGTCAGGCTGGCTCCCAGAGTCAAGGATTGGAGTGACCTAGCAGATCACCAGTCCAGATAACACCAGGGGAACATCACAACCTCTTCTATTGACACCTCAATTTGGGACATTCCTCAGATTTGTCACCTGAAAAGAATGGCTCAGGTGTGGGAATCTCCCTCCCATCTGCTGCAGTGAAGACTGATGCAAAGAATTCATTTAGCGTCTCTGCAATGGCCTTGTCTTTCTGGCCTAAACACAGTTGTTGTGATCAAGTTTTGGCCCTTGTAAGCCACAGGGAGGCCAGATTCCAGAGGAAATCTGAGACGGGTGCAGCTTTGTAGACCTGTCATCTGCCTACGGCATGGTCTAGATTAAAGGCTTGATGCTGAAGCTCGCAAGGATCACTCGCTGCCACAAAACACTATGTCTGCTATGGATGATGCTGAGCAGTAGGCAGCTATGTGTCCACTTGGGCAACAAAGTCAGTTCACCCCAGTTCCTCAACAATGGGCTGCCACAAGGCTCAGTACTCACGCCGACAATTTTCAATATCACACGAGCAACATGCCTCCAACGAAGTCGCGCAAAGTTGCATATGTGGATGATCTCGCCCTGGCAATGCAAGTAGCCACCTTCAACGACCTCAAGTCCACCTTGAATGGGGACCTAAACACCAGGGAGGAATATTTCTGGAAAGGGAAGCTCAAGGCAAATCCTCACAAAACCACAGCACTGCATTCCATCTTGATAACAGGAACACTGAGCACACCCTGAAAGTGACCTTCTGCGGCTACACTGCGGAACATGACCCCATGCCGACCTATCCTGCAGGGAAGCTGGATCACACACTAACCTTCCACAACCATCTGAAGAAGGTAGCTGCCAAGATGAAGACAAGGGTCAACCTGGTCCAGAAACTGGCTAGCACAAGCTGGGGACCATCAGCATCAGTATTACGGACATCAGCAAGGGCCCTTGTCGACTCCATAGCTGAGTATTGGGCACCAGCATGGACCAGAAGTAGCCGCACTCAACTTGTTGATGTCCAGCTGAAGTTGACCCCAACGCCTTGGCTGCTGGTGCTGTCACACATGGCTCCCCCATCCATTCGCTGCGATGCTGCAACCCTTCGGGAATTCCAGAGGATCGTGGAAAACGAATGTTTTCCCATCCACCAGGACCTTAGCAACGTCCCACACCATCGCTTGAAGTCACGTGAGCCCTTTTGGACCCTCGCATTTAGCCTTCAACAATGCACCTTCAACCCTGATGAAGCTTGGAAAGCCGAATGGAGTCACAAGAAGTCACAAATAAACACCTTGTAAAAAACCGGATGCAGATGATTCCTGGCTTCAATCTCCCACAAAGCTCATGGGAACCCTAATCTGTATCCGCACAAACCATGGCGGATGTGGATACTTGCTGCACAAATGGAAAAGTAAAGACTCTCCAGTGTCCAGAACAGACCAGGACCATATAACGACTCAATGCCCGATTCACAAATATGAAGAAGGCCTCAGGCAGTTATCTCGCTTACCCATCTGAATGTAGAGTATTGTTGTTGCTCTACGTTTCCATCAGCCATACGGAGAAGAAGAAGGGTTCCTTTGGCACCCCCATTGTCCAGGGGCCCCACTGATTGTCTGGCAGGCTTCCTGCTGCTGGTGTATTTAGCACAGGTTTGATGTTAGTTTTTGAGTCTTTGGCTCGTTGCTCTTCTAGGCCTGTCTAATTACACGTTTGCACTTGACTTGCCGGAGCGGATGCTCCTTTCTGTTGTTCCCACTCGGATTTGACCCTCCCATTTTGAAAGGGAACCTTTTGCCCCACCCGCCTCTTTTACTCTGTTGTTAGCCACCGTGGCATTTTTTCTTTGGTCCCCTTTACTATTTTTTTTATTTCAGGTGTACATTTGATTTGAGCCTCTATTATGGGGCTTAAATAGCTTCCAGGCAGCTTGCCGGCATTTCACTCTTGGGATGGTTCCTTTTCATTTCTGTTTCACTAGCCTCCTCCTTTTTGTGTAGTTCCCCTTTCTGAAGTTAAATGCTCCTGTGCTGAGGTTCTTTGGTATCCCCCCGCCCCGGCCCAATGATGTTACATTTAATTATATTACGGTCGCTATGACCGAGTGGTTCAGCTCTGTGCACATGTTGGGCCAGGTCCTGTGCACCACTTAGGACTAAATCAAGAATTGCCTCTGCCCTTGTGGGATCCAGGACTGGCTGCTCCCCATGGGGGTGGAGCAGGTCCTGCTCCCCAAAGGCCTCCCTCCCCCTTTGGATTATTGGCCCAGTGTGTTAATGTGGGCCTGCCCCAGGGACTGACCCTTCCATCCTCTGCACCAGGGCCAGCCAGCCCCATGCGCCGTGTGCTATTCAAATCCCAGGAAATGAGGTCAGGTCCCGCTTCAAGGCCTCTCCCTTCCTGCTCAATGGCGGGGGGCAAGGTTCCCAACTGCTCTAGTCAGATCCAAGCTACAGTGGGATTTTAGTCAGGGGTGGGTGGGAACACGTGACTTTGAATCTCCAGAGCTTTAATCCACAGGTTTTGCCCGTCCCTTTCCCCGTGCCAGGTTCCTCCGGAGCCTTACGCGTCCCGTGGAGAACAACACAGAACTGAGCCCTGTTTTTCCAGTGAAAAATGTTTATTTGGCTTCTGGTGCCTAGATCTCAAGGTGGGCGGCGCCGGATGCTGGAGAGAAACGAAACCCAGGGCTGAGAGCGCTGGACAGGAACCTCCCGAGTGAGCGAAGGGCCGTTTAGCTGGGAAGGGCGTCTCCTAGGGGCTGTACACCGGCTGCTGCATTCTGTACCCCGGCCACGGGCAGGGAGCAAAGGAGCGACCCAGGGGGATGAACCTGCCAAGGGGTGTCCCAGGAAGGGCCCGGCTAACGGGAGAGAATCCGGCACCTCCCGGGGAATCCAGGGAGGGGCAGGTGGGAGTCACGGCTCAGCAACAGCTTCACCCCAAGGGCCAAGAGCGGTAAAAACACCAGAGACTCATTTGCCTCCCGTGCTAGAGCTTTACTGGGAAAGGAACTAAACTGCAGCATGGGGGGGTGGGACAGCGAGTCTGGGGGGGTCACCGGAGAGCGAGGGGGAGGTGGAGACAGAGACGGGCGATTCTGCAGCCCAGCAAACAGGGTCACCAGGCACCGTCGCTCCTCACGGATTCGCCCATGTTCCGTCACTTGATCCGGGTGAAAATGTTTGTGCCGACCCTGCGGGGAAGTGCAGAATTCATAGATTCGCAGAGTGACAGTCAGAAGTAAGGCTACAATTCTGTCAGGGAGGTCACAGATTCTGTGACTTTCCGTGACCTCCAGGACTTCTTCTGGAGCAGGGATGGAGCCGGACAAATTCCCATCAGAAATAAGGCCCAAATGTTTAACCCTTGGAGCAAGAGGCCAGGGCAGTGCTGGGTTCTCCAGCTGTCAGCACCGGGGTCTCTGGAGTGGCGGCTGGGGTGTGGGGAGGCACCAAAACAGCTGACCGGCAGCCAACCTTGGGGCCTCTGGGCAGTGGTCTCCAGCCTGCTGGAGCAGCGGCTGGGGTTGGGTCAGCCCCTGTGGGGCCCCTGCGGCAGGAGCAGCTGAAAGCCCTGGCAGGCTCTGTTTGTTTCTTTGTTTGTTGCAGGCTTCCATGAATTTTTGTTCATTGCCCGCAACCAGTCCCTGACTTTTACTAAAAATCCCTGGGACAGAATCTTACCCTTAGTCAGAAGGGACCATCAGCTCATCCAGGCTAAGCTCCTGTGTAGCACAGGTCAGCCACAATGCCCCCCGCCCCCCGCCCTGAGCCCAGTACCTCGTGAATGGCTGAAGCATCTTCCAGAAAAGCAGCCGGGTTTGAACTGAAGCCCGTGAAGAGCTGGAGAACCCAGCACTGCCCTGGCCTCTTGCTCCAAGGGTTAAACATTTGGGCCTTATTTCTGATGGGAATTTGTCCGGCTTCAGCTTCCAGCCATTGGTTCTTGTCCTGCCTTTCCCTGCTAGACTGAGCAGCCCGTCAGCGCCTGATATTTTCCCTCTGTGGTTTGTTCTCACCTGTTATTTGCCCAGCACAGACCATGCGCTCGGTGCTGCCCGATACGGGGGGAGGAGGGGGCGGAAGGGGCACAAAGTGCAACAGCCTCAGAAGGAGAAAAGACCAAAGAAGGACACCCCCTCCCAGGCCACCCGCCTGAGCACCGCTGCCTGGGGAAACGCCTCCTCCAGGCTCCACCTCGGGGGGGCACCCAGCCGCCCAGCCCAGGGAGGCAGCGTGGCTGTGGGCACCCCGCACTGGCAGGGCCTCAGAGCCACCCAGCAGCACCCGGGGGGGGGGGGCAGGGGCTCCGCAGGCTGCACATCCCCGTGGTGCTCAGCAGGGCCATTGGGGGCAGGGGCCCTCCAGCAACCACTGGCTCAAATCTCCCCTTGGTGCCCCCCGGGAGGTGCCCCCAGGGCAGGCAGCCCCCTCCCCCACTCCCCGTGGGCCTCTCCACAAGGCGGGCAGGGCCGTGGGGCACTAGCAGCCCCGTGAGGGGAAAGGTTCAGCAGTGGCAGGCATGTTTGGCTGTGTCATGGGGTAACTAGGCCTTTGCTGGGGCCCAGCCCAGGGTAACAGCAGGGAATGGCTTTGCCAGGGCTGCCCGAAGCCTCATTATCCATACTCTCCCAGTTCTTCCAGGTGCCCCAGCCGCCTGCACCCCCGGAGATGGTTCTGTTCCCAGGGGCTGCTTCCCAGTGACAAGCTGCCCCAGCCCACTCTCTGTTTCCCCATTAGTCTCTCACAGGCCTGGGGGGACTTGGCTCTGGCCGCCGGGATCACAGCCCTGAGGTGTGACAGGGCTCAGGGAACTCTGCAGCCTTGGGGAATAAACCTGCCTTCGGTTCACACCACTTCATCCTCCCCCAGCGAGACACTGGAGGGCGAAGGGTCCCCATGGGTTTGTGACTCTGGGCTGAGAGCCATGCCCTGTCCCCGCAGGCTGGTTTTCCTACATCTCCAGCGCTAGGAGCCCTTGGACCAGAGCCGGGATCCCAGCCCTGCCCTTGGCAGAGAGACGGGGCCAGTCCCCGCTCCAGTCCTTCACCCCTGGGCAGTCGGTGCCCAGTCACCCACCTGGTCGCTTTCCAGTCGGCGCCGGGGGAGCTGACCTCCTCTCGCAGCAGCCACATGGTCTTCAGAGTTTCCTTCCCTTTATCATCCATGAAGCACTGGCCCACGAAGACGGTCATTGAGTCTGCAGGGGAACCCGACAGGAGTGAAAGTCAGCGAGGCCCCCGAGAAACAGAGCCCAGGGAAGGAGGCGGAGTTGCTTAAAGCACGACTGGAGTGGACGGAACCGCTACAGAACAGGAGAAAGAGTCAGGCATCGGTGGAGCTGGCAGCAGCACCGAGAGTTAAGGGTGCCCAAAGTTTTCCATTAGAAGACCCTGTTCTCAGTTGGTTATAACTTGCCTCATTTCAACAGTTCAGCTGAAGTTTCCCATGCCAGACATCTGCCTCAGGCTGCTGAGGTTTGGGGTTCTTTTACTTCTTAACATAATATGGTTCAGCCATTTCCAAGAACAAGGTTGGGGGAAAATACGTTAATTTTGCCATGTTAAAAAATTCATACCACCTTCTCACTGGGAAGTTTGAATGCCCCATGCTTGAGCTGGGACTCAACACTTGGCAGTGGGGGAGACTGGCCTTTGGCCAGCCCCAAGTTGGGCAAGTTACAAGTCCCTGAAAAGTCTCCCTTCACACATGCTCCGTAGACACTTGCTAGAGTTTGTCAGCTAAGTGCCCCCAAGATTCCCTGAGCGTGGGGCTGAGCGGGACTTTCCCTGCAATTGCCTCTTTGGTCCTGGGCCCCAGCACTGAGAGCGAGAACTTGCCTTTCCTGTGCGCTCACTGGCCCCCTGTTTTCCCCAGGCCGGGCAGAGGGATAGAGGGCGCAGCCTGTCTGCAGTGCAGAGGGGTGAAGAGATGCAGGACAGGGGGCAGAGTTGGCTGGAGGGGGCAGAGGGGTCAGGAGGGCAGATGAGGATGGGGCAGGGTGAGGAAAGGGTGGGATAGGAAGCGGGGGATAGGGGCCGGGGGAGGGGCAGAAGGGAATGGGGAAGACTAATGGGATGGGGCTGGAGGCAGGTGCTGAATGGAAGTTCCTGCTTCAGGTTCTCCTGCTTCTCCTCCCTCCCTCCCCCCACCCCCCATGAGCCTTAAGGCTCCATCCCCACCCCTCAGTCTGCTCTGGATGGCTCCAGTTTGCACGCCCTCCTCCAGGCTCCCCCGCCACCCCTGTGTCTCACAGCCCCCGCGTCTGCAGGGGGACATGCTCCTGCTGCCCCCACCCTCTGTCCGCTGCTTCGGAGCCCCCCAGGAGGCGGTTCCCAGTAATGGTTCCCAGCGCGTCTGCTGAGCAAGGCCTCGCACCCAGCCTGGGGAGGCCGACAAGTGCCCTGTGCGCACGGGATGGCTGAGCGCTGAGCCAGGGGCTGGGTCTGTACAGCGCCTAGCGCCACAGGGACCTTGGCACTACCTAATACAGACAGTGACTAACAGTTCACAGCAACACCGGTGCTGGGACGTGCACAGCTCTGGCAGCAGCCCCAGCAGGCTGCCGTGGACAAGCCAGGGAGGAGACAAAGCAGCTCGCAGTGTTCCCCAGGGCCTCTCGTCCCCAGAGCACTTGAAGCCTCGCACCCAGCTGGGGAGGTGGGTCCCCCAAGGGTCCCCGTAGGCAAGTGGAGAGGTGATGGGGAAGCTGCCCAAGAGCCCTCGGCAAGTCCCAGGCAGAGCCGAGGATGGACCCCAGGAGCTCTGACTACATGGCCTTGGAGACACAGCCCAGGGTGAGCAATGGGCCCTCCACCATGGGTCTGAGGCCAGGCCCCAGCCCTTTGGTTTGAGGTTGGTACATTTGTATCTTGTTTCCAGTCTGTTCAGTTCTGGCTCAGAGCCCCTGGCACTGGCCAAAGCTGAGCGTTAAGGGGCTGGAAGAGCAGAGGACGGTGCAGAGACTGGGCGGGGAAGTGTTTCAGCTTGGTTAGCACTGAATTCCCCTCCGTTCCCCTCCACCCCGGGCACTGAACCCTCGGGCCACGTACTTGAGAACGTCCAGCTCACGGTGAAGCCAAAGGTCGGCTGCTTCCTCTGGTTCGTGGGCTTCTGGGACCCCTTCAGGGGTGACACCCGGATGTGTTTGTCGGTGGCCGTCACTGCTGTGTGGTACAAACCGGTGAATCCCCCATCGGTGTTCACGGCAGAGATGGTCATGTTAGAGCCCAGCTCATTCTTCCACAGTCCAGACAGGACGCACTGAAAGAGAGACACGGTCAGCAGGATGGGTCCCTCCCCTGCAGCGCTGCAGGGCCCAATGCTCCCCTAGGCCATGCCCCTGAGAGCGCCGAACACGGGAGCCAGACCCACAAACAAGGAGAGGGACAGAGCATGGGTCTGTGATCGGATTCTCTGCCCCAAACCTGCAGGGAATGGCTGGCTCTGGGGTCAGATCCCTTCCTGTGCTGTGTTTTTCTCCTTGCACACTGTCTCCGGCTGTTCCCATTACCCACAGGAACACTCAGCCCCTCTCCAAAGCCTGCTCAGCTGATGGCTTCAGTGAGATCTCATGGCAGCGAGGGCCATGTCTTTAACTACAAGCTCACACGCTAGTTTCCCACAGGACCCATCTCATTCAGTGCTCGGTACAGATCTGCTCTGGGGCTGACCTGGGGCTGTGCAGGGAACCAGCCGTGGTCCGTAGGACCCCTGCCTCATTTGTTGCAGAAGCTGGAAGGTGCGAGTGACTGAGGCAGGGGACTGCAGGAAGAGAGAGGATGGTGTCATGGTGGAAGCTGAATGCTGCCCTGGAGATGAGATTCTGTCCCAGCCTCTGCCACATGGGTCTCAGGTGATGCTGGGCAAGTCACCTACACCAGCCTTTTCACAAAGAGCCCCGGTGCGCTCATTTTCTGGGCGCCTGACTCAAGACGATGGGGCTGAGATTTGCAGAAGCGCGAGGCGCTCACCCCTGCAGTCAGTGGGAGCTGGGCTTTGAGCGAGGATAGTGCTGTCAAACGCCAAGTTCACTGACAAACCAGACCCTCGGCCTCACAAATAGGACATCCAAAATGAGCCAACACTTGTGACAGATCTGGCCTTGACCTTGGCATCTCCGTTCCCCACCTGTAAAATGGGGACACTTCATACCATGGATTTTAGGGGCAGAAGGGCCCTGCAGATCACGAGCGTCCCTCCTGGCTGTGCTACAGCAGAGCTCTGAGGACGACGCCCAGTCTTGACTTTAAAACTCCACCACGTCCCTAGGTCAGGCATTCCCAAGGTTAATTCCCCTCCGTTAAAATTTTACACCTGATTTCTAGTCTTGTTCTGCCTTTGGCTGCTAGATCAAGTTGCTGGCTGGTTCTGAAATCTCTGCCCAGCGTATGGATTTCTGCTCCATGTTCCAGTCACCGCTAAGCCGTCTCTGTGAGAAACTAAATAGCTCGAGCCGCTTTCTCTCACCATAAGGCAGATGTTCTAGGCAAAGCATTCTCCTCGCTCATTTCAGAGCCCTTCCCAAGGATTTCCAGGAACAGAAACTCATGAATATTTGTAACCCACTAAAATACTCCAGGAAGAGCTACTTCGAGAAACCCAGGAGGACATGAGCAGCTCGGTGTTCTGTGCAGGCTTTAAACAGTGTGCAGTAAATGAGGCCCAGGGCCACACCGGAATAACGAGCATAAAAGCAAATATGGCATAACAAGGCATCCAATGAGCCTGTGTGCACCGACTGGGCAGGGGCCGGGCTGTGACTGTGGAATTAGAGACTGTAGCATGGAGCGGATGAATTCAGGTTGTCTGGGCAACCTGGTATTTCCTAACTTTTGAGTGCTTGACTTTTTCTTACCAGTCTCTTAACATTGTTTTTTTTGGTATGTTCTATAAATCCCTGGGAAGCCCTTCCAAGGAGCCCGTGTTCCGTTTTGGCCTCCCCACTTCAAACCAGACACTGCGGGAGTCGAGGGGTTCGCAAAGGGGTGACAAGGATGGGTAGAGATGGAGCGGGGGAGACAGAGAGGTGACAAATAAGAGCTAACATGACAGAGGGACACATGATAGTGACTAGGACAAAGGAGGTTCCTGAGTGCTGCTGCTCATTCTCATAACACAGGAACATTACATAAAACTGAAAGGCAGCAAATTTAAAACTGATCCAAAGGAAATACTTTCTCATACTCTGCACAATCTGTGGAACTCTCTGCCACATGATTTCATCAAGGCCACAAGCTTAGCAGTGTCCAGAAAAGGCTCAGATGTTT